GCGGAAATAGTAGGCACGCAGGCCCGCTTACATTGTTTGAGATTCAAGCTGTGTGTCTAATCTAGTGCATATTAGTAATTAAGATAAGAGAAGAAAAAAGTATAGATAAATTTAACATAAAATTTGAATAAAAATAATATAAAATTCAATACTGGAGTGCAGTAAATAAACAAAATAATTAATTGTAATATCACATCCCTCAATTGAGCCGCAAATCTATTGATTCCAAATATTGCAAGAGGTCGACTAAAAACGAGGAGAGAGAGAGAGAGAGGGGAGAAAATATATTTTATTTTTCATTTTTTAACAATATATACTCGTTAACTTGCGATTTGATGACCGGGATGAAACGCGATCGCACGTCTCTATACTACTGGAACGTAACCCGAGTCTTTCTCTCCTAGCCGGACACAACTCGACATCTGCGAAATTCGTCTCTTGCTGATCGTAATCTGATCTTAGATAATGCCACCTATGGATTTTTTTTTTTTTCTGTAAACTGTAATCCAAAGTTACTGGACTTTCGGAAGTCCCATTAGAGCCGATTTTACGATTGTGTTCGAGCTACACAAGCTTCACAGTACAAACAAGATAAAAAAATGCCACTAGTTATGCCATTTTTACAACTTCGATAAAACACGCTCCTATCTTAAGTTCCGTTTTCCACGTAGGTATTTTTATTCATGCAGTGCTGGCAGACCGAGTGTATGGATACTAAAAAAAAATAGTCAAAGCATTTGAAAAAGTATTTAAATATTTTACAATAAACTTTAACACCTTAAATGTATTACACTTGTCAATGATAACAACAAAATTTTTCTCTACTTCGGAATGTAAATGGTGACAAATAAAAAAATGTTCTACATTTGCTAGGAAAATCATGTGCATCGTAAGACTATTCTGGCATCCTTGAAAAGATAAAAAAAACGTGTAATTCCAGAAGAAAATATTAATTCATATACCGATGTCTTGAGTGTATGGTGTTTATTATCATACGATTCCGCAATAAAAATTAACATTTGTAGAGTATGGTTGAGACATTCAAACCGAAAGAATTTTAATCAACACCTTTTTTTCATAAAAAATTCTGGTATATGAATTATTGTACTCAAATAAATGTTTTGAGTACAATAATTTTTACAAATTTTTTAATTTGGATACACAAATAACTCGGGCCTCGTAGTAGGTAATTTTATTAATTTATTGTAGTCCATTATACATCATAGATTTTTTGCGCGTATACTCTTCGTGTATATGACTAACGATATTAATCATTTTTTGTGAGATAAGAATATGATTTTAAAAAATTTCTCAGTCTGACTAACTAAACGTACGTGGGTTCAATATACCTATAATATGAAAATTATCGAGAAAAAGAATAATTTTGTTTGTTATGAATATCTTTGGGTAACATCACTTTAGTTATAAAATCTTACATTCATTGTTGACATTAAAATGGCGATCTTGTTTAACATCACTGATAAGGTAATCTAAAATTGAAGTTCGTGTCTTTTGTCGAATTTGATGCTCCTTCCCCGTAAGCACGTACAGCCTGATAAATTCAATTTTCGTGCCAAATGAATCAATTGTAGTCTGTGATGAGCATGTGTGAAAAAAAAAAGAAAAACGTTAGTACCCAAACTCAATGAAAATGTATACGGTAAAATCCATAAAAAATATCTTATTTTTGTCCCTTATTTTTTATAAAAAAAATTTTCATCCGAAATAGGACTTATTTTACTCGTAATGCCATGTACTAAAAGGAAAAAAAATTTTGAAGACTGGTTTCAGTGAAGGTGACGCCCTTTTTTCGTGATTCAAATACCTATAAATATCATCCTTACAGATATAATTTTAACATGTAAATCGCGGAAAATGGGCGTTACCCTCACTGAAACCAGTCTTCAAAACTTTTTCCTCATAGTACATGACATAACAAATTAAATGGGCGAACAACTTTTTTTTTTATCCAATGGTAGACAAAAATGGGATATTTTTTGTGGATTTCCTCATATTTTGTGGATATCCTCGACTACTATAATTGATCGGCTCCTCCTATTGAAAATACATTGAACTTGAAGTAGCGCCTCGTTCCAATTAAACCACCTGCGCATATTTGATACTCAATCAATCATACACACGTATTGGCATTTCAACGGGTCCGAACTTTTAGGTCAGGGAAACTAGTTCGTCGAGTACACCGGAAGAAATCGCTGAAAAATTCCTTACGCGAGTGCAAGCTGGTGTTGGAAAAAAAAAAATTGCAATCGTCAATTGGACACGATTTACCGATTTGTGTGGGAAAACTCGGCGTATATTATTCGAAAGATAACTCGATACCGCGCGAACGCAGCGCTGGGAAGACGCAAGCACTCGGATCGAGAAAGTAAGTACAGTGCTCCGGCTTGGCTCGAGTAAGTACGATCCAAGGCCGGCCTCTCGTCAATCTCGTCGTGCACGCCTCAGTAGTATCTTCGGAGCATCGGCAGCAGCACTGGTTTAGCGCAACTAGGTACTCAAGCGATGGAATCGTACGAGTTGCACGTATAGCGCGTAACTGCGCGTGTTGTATCGGTCACTCGCGGGCTTTTGATTTAAATGCTGGTTCATTGTCTTTGCGAAGGTTTATCAGTGCAAGTGAGACGCGATGCTGCCCACTTCGGCCAGTTGTAAGTAATCCGATTTTCTCGCAGTAAATATCGAGCTTCGCCTCTTTTCCTCCCGATAGACAACTATGTTGGGATCTCCCCGCTTCGTTCGAATCACAGAAGCGCACATTGTTCGACGAGTCTTTTTTTTCCTTATAATTAACGTTTTGCGTCAGGTATACGCATCCAGCAAAGATGGATATTCGCGGTGATGGGTTTCTTGGGACTGTTCAACGCTTACGCGATGCGCATCTGTCTGTCGATCGCAATCACGGAGATGACCGTGCCTGTGAACATCACCGAGGAGCTGATCGACGACACGTGCCCGGATCTCGAGCAACCATTAACGAGCAACGCCACTGTTGTTTTACCACCGCACAGAGGCACTTACGTTTGGAGCGAGTACACTCAAGCGAGTATTTTTTTCATGTTTTTTTTACATCCATCGATGTCTGTTGTAGAGCGGATCGTATGGAGTAGTCGAAAAACCTCAAGGTTACATGGTTCCGGTTGGAAAGGAGGAATGTTCAAAAATTATTGAGTCCTTGTTTTCTCTACATTGTATGTTTGTTTGGATATATTTTTCAATATCTTTTTTTCAGTCAAGTATGTTTTTTTTTAATTTAAAAAATAATTTTTTACG